ACAATATTGATAAAAATATGCATATCTCCACATCTATGACTTAGAAAAATTAAAAACGCTCGGTAAATAAGTACGTTAAACAAAAATAAAAACAACTGAAAAACACTGAAAAGTTCACTTCGGACTTGATTCCGACTTCAAACACATCGTAAGCTACACGTAGTACGCTGTAACGGACCATGGGCCGTCGCGAGGGGTGGTGGGACGGACGGCTCATTTCATTCTGGAAGACTAGCAGCGACGTTGCCAATAGTTCTAGACGTTTCAGCACATTAATAAACTGTCCTTTAATAGTAACGCATATAATATATCCTCTGGTTAATAACATATCATTACGCATGCTTCTTTAAAAATAAAATATTAATTTAATTAAGAAATTGAGATTTATTGATATCCGGTGAAGGTTTTAAAGTCACCTTTTCTGTAAATCAAACTAAGTAGATAGGCGCAAATTTGATATGTGGCAATGTCGCCTTCTCTATATCAGTTGGCTTTTACAGTACGTCGTCAACCTCCGATTGTTTGATCGGGTTAAAATGCAAAATGTTATATCTGTTCTTACTAAATCTATGCTACTTACTGATCTTTTGGCTGCTCATTAAATAAGGGATTACTCAACTCTGACCTTTGTGTTTGATATAATTTCTAAAAAAATCTTAAAGTTGAATGTCTGAAATAAGACAAAATATATAGGTACGGTATAAACATTCCCTTATTCAAATATATAAAAGGAGAGTATAACATTAAATATATATACAAGAAAAATCAACCATTTATTTTAATTGATTTTTTGGATTTTTCATATTTTGGTTTCGCATGTTGAATTGTCTTATTCATGGTTTCAAATTCATCTTCAGTAAAGTTTTGAAATCTATATCCAATCGTTTCTAAAGTACCTAGTAAAAATAAAAAACAATCAGTTGTAATAAATATAACATGAGGAACGATCTCTCTTGGTTATTCCCAGCATATTTGTTCCATTGAAGATTAAGATATTCTCCATCTATTTTTAGATAGATTTTTTAGTAAATTTTATGCTCTACAAAAATCCCCGATGTAAATTTTTTTATCGTAAACCGTTTCATAGTTATGGATTTTTTTACGTGTTATATAAATGGAAAACTTTGAATGTTCACCGACACCTTTTAAATTGAGCTAAAATACCGGGAATATTTTTTTCTCGGGTATTAGGTTCATTTTAACCAAAGACATTATAAAGATAGACCGAACATCTCATTTATAAATACTCGTTGGAAGTGTATCAAACATTCCAATGTGTGAAACAAGGACAGAAGAGACAGAGAAGTTTAAAATTTCCGACCCCGGCAACTAGGCGCATTTCGATTGTTCTAATGGCCAGTGGCGTATCGTTTTTTGGAAGGAATTTAATTAGTAAAGTAAAAGTAAAGTAATTAGTAAAATTTTTACTCCATATTAATATACTACATTAACACTTTTTCGTCAGATGAGTTTTGTTATAAGGTCTAATATAATAATATAATTAATATCCCATATATACTTATGTTGAAACGTTAGTAGGTAGTTTTCGAAAATCGCTCCAACGTCGATTTTCAATTTAAACTTTCAGTTAATTCTATATAAACTTTCAGTTACTTTTGAATATTCACAGGGTGACTCAAGTTTCTGAAACAGTTCTATATTAGGTTTGTGGTTGGTGACTTTTCTTTCAATTTTTTTTTAGAATATGGAGGCAATGGTAAATCACATTTTAGGCATTTTTGTAAACATAGGTAGCCGGAACATATTTTCAAACTAAAGTTGTAGATTTGCCATTAAATTTCCATTCCAGAAATACCTAGGGTTGCCACCTGTCCTTTTTTGGAATAACTTGTCTTTGACTTTTTTTGACTTAAAAAGTCATTTTTATTTACGTATTTTCCCTGAGAAAATTACCTACAGCAAACAGAAACATTCTTTTCGTCCAAATTTAATTAGAGATGTTATAAAATTTATAAGGGCAATGGAGGACCGTAACTTGGAAGAGGAAGATGTTCTTGATCGTAACAGGTGGCGGTTAGGCGTGGGGATGAGACGTTAGTTGCGACAACCCTGGAGTATATATATAAAACTTATAAATAACATTTTCTTGTTTAGAATAGGTAGCATTATTTAGAACTTTCCGTTTAATCTCAAATGATAGTTTAGGTTTTAGTTTTACCTTTTTTGATCTTAAAAAGAACTTTTCAAAATTAGTAATTAGTAACGATTTAGTTAGTTCGCAATCGATAGCTTCCTGTGAAGTACTGTGTAGTAGTTGTTTAATCTTGTATTATTAATAACTTCCTATACCTAAAATCAATATTTAATGAGAAAATTGTGTTTTTTTTTTGAAAATATAAGACAAGCTTTGACTTTCGGTCTTCTTCTTGTATTATGATGGCTCTGATAAGAGGCAATTACCTTTTAGTCTCTCAATAGAAGGCATTTATCATTAGAAGTATCAAATCTGTGTGCTACAGTATGGGATTTCTGTCGCATAATAATGAATATTACGTTTATTTACAAACCCATTACTTTTAAAGGTAGCTTCATCAGACAATGAAATTTTAGTTAAATGTCTCAATCTTCATGAACTAGTAGTAGCCTAAAAATTATTTACAGTTCGTCCCATTCTAAAAAAAAGGTAAACACACCGTACAAATAACTCTAGGAAGAGGTATTTGTACGGTGGTAAAAAATTGTCTAAACAAGGCGGAAGGGGTAGATATAATAAAGCAGTAAAATGTAAAAAAGGTCGCGTAAACGCCTTTCTTTATTTGTTGAGCAAAATTCCTTTAGAATATCGTATATAACGACCAAAATATGACGCAATTTTAAGAAAAAAAATGTCACTTTCTGGCTTATAATAAAGTTTCAAATGCAACGTTTATATTCAAATTTGTTATAATCTACAACAGTTAGGTAGTAATTGAGACGAATTATAATTCAATTACCGGCTACTACGTTCTTGTTTTAATAGATCAAAATTCAACAAATATAATTAGAAATTATTTTAATTGTAAGGGGCTCCCTTGTAGGACGCCTATGTACAATTACGGCGGAAATTTGTACCTACCTGTGAAAAGACAAATTCGGGTAATTTGAGCTTATTTTTCCACACACTTGACACTGTCGTACCATATTGAAAATTCGCAGATTCAAAAGTACGTTAAACAAAAACAAAAACTACTGAAAAACACTGAAAAGTTCACTTCGGACCTGATTCCGACTTCAAACACACCGTAAGCTAAACGTACTACGCTATAACGGATTAAGGGCCGTCGCGAGGGGTGGTGGGACGGACGGTTCATTTTCATTCTGGAAGACTAGCAGCGACGTTGCCAATAGTTCTAGACGTTTCAGCACATTAAACAGTAAACATGTCCTTTAATAGTAACGCATATATCCTCTGGTTAATAACATATTATTACGCATGCTTCTTTAAAAATAAACTATGAATTTAATTAAGAAATTGAGATTTACTGATATCCGGTGAAGGTTTTAAAGTCACCTTTTCTGCAAATCAAACTAAGTAGATAGGCGCAAATTTGAGATGTGGCAATGTCGCCTTCTCTATCTCAGTTGGTTTTTATAGTACGTAGTCAACCTCCGGTTGTTTGATCGGGTTAAAATGCACAATGTGATATCTGTTCTTCCTAAATCTATGATTTTAACCCATAAATTCCATAGGTTAGTTTTTTTTGACTCATCCTACTGTATAACATATACATATATTTTATTTTATTTGTTAACTAACTTTGTTAAATATAATTATTGTTAACATTAGGGTAGTTTTACCAATTGTCTATGTATGGAATTCCACTGAGATGTGTTTTTTGAGGTTTTTTTTAATTTTACTTGAAGATGCAAATAGATTTTGCGAAACGTAGAATATTGATTTACTCAAAGAAATATTATGTTTGTGGAAGGTTAAAGATGAGAGTTACGTTAATAGGAATTTAAAAAGAGAAGTTTATGAGGATTGATTTTTTTTAAATATATTTTCTCCGATAGATGTAGAGTGGCCGTTATCTTAAGGAAGCAAAAACAACAAAAAATTAAAATTTCTTATTTTCTTTAGTATACCTCGTTTAAGATTTGATAAAACGGATTTTATGCCCGTTTTTAAAATTAATTTAAAAATTCTCATTTATATGTGCCCTAATTTGCTTAGCAAATAAAATCCCTTCTATTGCCCATAAATATTGCCAGAAGCAACTTCTGCTGACTATTTATTATCGCAAGCAATAAATTTCGACTTGAAATGAATGGACTATAAACGTTTGAAATTTTAAAGTGCATTCTAAGCTTCAAAAGCAATATGTATCTTTCTCCGAATTTATGGAATGCTGCATTAAATTTTCTGCAATCTTCAAATGTACCTATTTTTTTAAACTGCCATTTTAACGTTTTCATTGTTTTATCACTCACAATTTTAGGTTCTTTGTAATTTAATTTGCTTTAATATAATTTTTCAGCTTCAGCTTTAATTTATTATTAGTTCTATTAGTTTGAATAATAAATTATAATTAACAGATCAAATGACTTACCTGTAGGAAATTTGATCCTAATTACACGATCAGTTTTGTCCGAAGTACTACATAAAAGGAATACAAATAGAGTAAGTCTTGTCTTGCTGAAATCCGTGCGACATACAAAAATAAACGTGGCAACGCCGCTCCGCACCGTCCTCGCCGCGACTGGCCCCACCAATGTCATTATAAGTTTTGATAAGAGATCGGCTTGTGAGGGGGTGGGAGTGACCAAGAGCTCTTAGGTATAGTTGTGATGTGGTTCATACATAATATTAATTATCACTGTTATTATTTTATAAGATGGCGTGGGTTATGTAGTACTTCGGACAAAACTGATCGTGTAATTAGGATCAAATTTCCTACAGGTAAGTCATTTGATCTGTTAATTACACTTCTCAGTTTTGTCCTCGTACTACATAAAAGGAATACAAATAGAGTAGCTGTTTAGAGAATGAAAAGACGATCTCTAGAAAATAGCTTTATTCCCTATAAGCTTTGTATAATATATACTTAAGTAATTTGTATATATTTATAGGAAAGGCACCTTTTAAAGGTGTGTAACGAAATATAATAATATAACCATTAAACTGTATGTTTACATTGTAACAAACATATAGGTATATAACGTAATTACAAGGAACAGAACGCACTAAATCTTAAAGTAAGGAACTCTTATTTTAACAGGTAATACTGGATCCTTGGAGGACCCCTTTTGCAAAGAGATCCGCCGGTGTTGATATTGGTTTATTATAAAATTTATTAAAAACGTTTGATTTTTCAGTCCATCCTGCATATTTTCTTATTTCCTCAATGTTAACTCCGCCTCGGTATGCGGCCGAAGTTGAGGCATGCCGAGTGCTGTGGCCTGAAAATTTGCTTGTATCAACACCCGCGGATTTTAGAGTCGAGCGGATCCATCTACTTATCGTTTGGCTTGTGGCCGTATGATAAGGTTTCCTGTGTGTCAGTATTAAATAATCATTATTATCGGCGCGGAGGCTTTTAGTTGTGTTTAGATAAAATAAAACCGTAGATGCTAAACACAACCCTGGTTTGTCTCTAAAGAATGGTAACTTTAGCACAGGTTGAAATTTATTTTTCCCGCTAGTTTTGACGGTATCTGGGATCAGTATTTCGATCCTATCATCAAACTGATTTATATAACTTAATCTAATTTTTGAGAATGTTTGTACTCTATGCGCCGTAATAATTGCTAACAAAGTAACTAACTTATGTGATAACTTTTCTAAGGATAAAGTACTTAAAGGAAACATATTTTCTAACAGACTCAGTACTGGGTGAGGATCCCAGGTTGTATTGTATTTTGGCCTTGGTGGCCTTTGGTTATAAATGCCTTTTAAGTATCTTTTAATTATTCCCTCATCTCGAGTGTCGATGGGGAGTACAAAGGATAATGCTGACTTGCACGCGTTAATGGACGAATAAGAGTTAGAGTTATCTACTTGTATACTTAGAAATTTAATAAAGGTAGTAAGGTCGTAGGACCATTTATCGTGATTTATGTCACAACAGAAACCCCACCATTTTTTAAACCAGGTGTCATATTGTTTTAGTGTACTGTCAGCTACTGATGCTACTATGGATGCAATGGCCTCTTCGGGAAACCCTTTCTTTACAAAGGCTTCCCTGATAAATGGCCGGCAGCCAGGGTAATTGTCCGCCATAAGGGGTGAGGTTTCCTGAAAGGCGATAAAAGTAAGGTTTTACTTGGCTTAAAGAATAATATTTTCCCCACAACCAATCTCTTAAACAGGGGGAACCAAGGTTGTGTGGGCCACCATGGTACTACGACTAGACCTTCTGCCTTGTCCATTATGATTTTATTAAGCATTTTTAATATTAGGCTAAATGGGGGAAAGGCATAAAAGAAATCCTGTGACCAACATGTGGTAAAACTATCAGTTCCCGATGCTCCCGGATCCGGTTTCCAAGAATTATACCTTGCGCATTTTGCGTTAATTCGACTGGCAAAAAGGTCTATTTGCGGAGTTCCATGAATGCGGCATAAGCGTTTATAATGAATATTATTTAATTCGTATTCCGTATCAATATTTTTACAGCGAGACTCAGAATCTGCCTGTTTATTATTTTTAGAGCTAATGTATGTTGCAAAAATATATAAGCCTTTTGATTCGCAATATTGCCAGATATGTCTGGTAATAGTGTTAAGTTTTCTGTGTCTAACGCTACCCATTTTATTAATTAATGCTATGGCAGTGACGTTATCTATTTTCAATAGTATGTTCATATGTGTAAAAGACTTGGTAAACGCTTTTAAACAATGAAAAGCTGCTGCCAATTCTAACCAGTTTATGTGATTTTTTGATTCTTCTTGTAGCCAAAAACCGTGAATGTTCTCGTTATTACAACTACCGCCCCAACCACTGTTTGAAGCGTCTGTGAAAATAGTGATGTCGTAGTTGCCTTGAAAAATTGGAACATATGAACATGCTAATGAATTCTGCCACCACTCAAGGTCTGATCTGACCCCTCGCGATAAGGATATATTATGATTGTATGATTTTCCGCTCTTTAGGGCTTTATACTTTTCCCCCTCGAGAGATTTTATATACAGTGGTCCGTACCTTACTGCTGGGCAGGCTGCTACTAAGTGACCAATTATTTTAGCGAAAAGCTTTATGGAACAGATACGTATTAACAACACGTCATTGATTAAAGATATGATTAGCTGGCTTTTTTCTGAGGGTAGCGAAAGACGCATGTTTTTCGAATCTATGAAAAAGCCCAAAAAACAACAAGTATTATTGGGATTTAACTGGCTTTTATCGTAGTTTACGTTAAAACCAAGATTTGTCAACACTTGTAGGGTTAAGGTGATGTCTTTTTTGCTTTTCTCCATAGTAGGGCTGATTAGGAAAAAATCATCTAAATAACAAACGCAGATTATGTCACGTGTTCTAAGGAAATGAAGTACGGGCTTCATTATCTTTGTAAAGATGAACGGGGCCGAACAGAGACCAAAAGGTAAGGAATTAAATTGAAATAGTTCGTTTTGAAAGCAAAACCGCAAAAATTTCCTATATTTTTCATTTATCTGTATTGAAAAATATGCATCCCTTAAGTCTACTAGGGTAAAAAAACAACCAGGGTATGTTAATTTAATGGCAGTGCGATAATCCTCAAGTTTAAAGTGGGGGGCTTCTAAGTGACAGTTTAAAGATTTTAAATTAAGTATGAAACGGTACTCACCGTTTGTTTTCTGTCTTAGAAAATATGAAGAAACATATTGTGTTTTTGAACTTGTACAACGGGAAATGGCGCCCATTTCCAACATGCTGTCAATTAATTTTTTACAATTTTCATGTTCTAACCGTGTTAACTTAGGTTCTTTAATGGAATGTCTTGTAGGGGGGGATGATATGAAGTTAAATTTAATTCCCCTTAACCAACTTAAAACTTGAGGGTTACTTGTCAGCATTTCCCAATAATGTAATCTAGATCTAGTCTTGCCGACACACATGTGCGGATCATTTTTTATGCTCACCATTAATATTGGGTCCTTTTCTTTTTCAGCCGGGCTTGGTTGTATGAGACCCCTTGGGTGTTCCGACCCTTCGCTTTGTAGTTCCATTGGTTCTTGTATTTGGACTTGTATTTGGGGCGCTGGTAGTTTTTTGAACTGGTGGAGGGGTTCTGTAATCTAAGATCTGAGGACGTCTTCTGTATTTCCTTGGATGACTTCAGTTTCTCCGCAAACTTGTCCCCAAATAAAAACTCGTCTATTGGGTAGTCTTCGATGATCTTCCTCACCGAGCTGTTCAGATGAGGTAGAATAACATGGCGCCTGTGTGTAGATATGCTATGATGGACATTAGTTAAGATTTTCGCCGCATCAATACTGGGTTTTAAGAATTCATTAGACTGTTCGCTTGGATTAGGGAAGCAATTGCCTAAAGGTTTCCCTAAAGCGGAGATGGCTACCCCAATTTCGTCTTGTATCCTACTAAGGTACATGTCTTGTCGGTTCAAGCTTTCGTTTAAACATGTTGCAATTTCCATGTTTAGTTTAGGTGCGAGTAATTCTTTACAGTTTCCTACGATAGGGTAACTGTCGATCAAAGCTTTTTTGTCATCTTTTTCAACCCCTTTTCTTAGAAATTCGCTCCAGCGCATTACAATATCTTCGTGAATGTTTTCTCCAAACTGTTGGGTAAGGTTTGGTTGTTTACCTATGATAATAAATAATTACATTTATTATTGTTTCCCAAACTGTTGGGTAACTTTTGTATATACCTAATAAGGTAATTATTGCGTCCGAGGTGTTTGGTTTGTTACTGCCTGCATTTATCGCCGGGCTATCGATGGGTTCAAGCGGGAGATTCACTGGGCTCCGCCTTCCCCTTTCGGAACCAGAGTGATTATCTTCACTGGAAGAATCATCACTGCCGGAGGATGATGCGTCATCGCCTGCAATGAAACGCATAATTATTAAGTTTGTTGACCACTGGGCCTTCAAACAAAATATTACTGTCAACCATACTTCGCAAGACCACTGGGTCAAGGAGTTAGGATTAGGTTAGGGTTAGATAATAAAATTCACACGTAGTTGTTAGTGCAATTCTTTATTTAAAGTATGGTTAGCCAGAAAGTATAGAGGCGATAATTTACTGAAAACACCTCCCCGTTTCCCCATGTGCACTGTTTTACCTAGGTTATGAAAAAACTGATAATACTTACTTGATACATCCTCTAAACGCTCCCAAAGTTGGTTTAGGCGATTCTGCTTCCGTTTCAGCCTCTTTTTAATTTCATTTTTGGACCTGTTTCTACCCATTTCGCCGTAAACACGTAAAAAACACTTTACAAAACACTCGACGCACGAACCTCGTTGACGACAAAACTTATAATGACATTGGTGGGGCCAGTCGCGGCGAGGACGGTGCGGAGCGGCGTTGCCACGTTTATTTTTGTATGTCGCACGGATTTCAGCAAGACAAGACTTACTCTATTTGTATTCCTTTTATGTAGTACGAGGACAAAACTGAGAAGTGTAATACAAGTTAGACATTCTGAAGATATAAAATAATTTACTTTTCTATTTTTAATTTTAGAATTTTCACAAATTATGGTTACTAACACTTTTAGAATAATTATAACCTATCAAAAACATAAAATGTCTCGCAACAAAATTCTTTCAATATAAAAAGTTGTGAGATCCCATGCAAAACCAAGTCAGTTTATTTTATTCAGTTTTTCTTTAAGCACCCATTCAACAATTTTGTTATAAATTGTTAGTATCAATCTTAGACATCTTTATTTCTGTGATAATTATAATGAGTAGGCGAATTGCACGGCACCATAATTATTAAACAATAATCTAGCGGCAAAATAAAACCCTAAATCAGCACAATACACCAAATCACTCCACTTTTGTACTGGACGCGCGTTTCGCTAACCATGATGCAGCCAAAAAAAAAACACCGATGGTTCCAACCCCCAATTGTAATAATCTACCATCTGGGGACACGGAAGTGCCCTCGCCAAGTCGAGCACAGCCGTACCACAGATTAGGTATCCTATAAGTATACAGATAAAAATCTTGTCCCTAATTCGTTGTACGAAAATTGTTTTTTATGACGATTTGCAAACGAGTAAACTTTTCTTGTGCGCAAATTTAAACTCCCGTTTAAACAGTGTAATAACTGGTCCGGTCAGGCGCTGTGCAGAATTTTAGAGGCCATAAGTGGGCGTGCTTGTGCGCAACCCGTCGGCAGCCGATGCGGCTCACGCAATAGTATTTTGGAGTATGTACTTCAAATTTTCATAAAAACAATTTTTTTTCGGTTTCATTTTAATTATTTGCAGGCTTTTAATTCAGAGATTATTTTGTTGGAATTAAGTTACCATGTACAAAAATGTATTTATAAATTAAATATTGACGTGCATAGTGTAAATAGTTTAGAATAATTGTTTTTAATGAAGGCAGAATACAAAAAGGCAAAGAATTTTTAAAAGTGCGCCAACAACATGGTTTAAAATTGAAAGAAGTGGTTTTACCAGAAAACGTTGTCCCGACAAAAGGGTACCATGTACAGTGCTAAAAAAATAAGTATTCTGGAATTTTATTAAAGTACCTACCATTGTTAATCTTTCTAAATAGATTCAAAAGTAAGCAAAAGTGCTTTACTTTTATGCTTAGGCGTTAAAATGACTTTTTTATATTGTCAATCAGGTCGCAAAAATTAATAATTATATAATATGTTACAAAAGTATAATAATAATTATATTATACTTTTCTGACGTTTGAAAAAAAAATATTTAATATTATGCTAATTTTTAAATAATTATTCGTCTTTTTATTCTTTCAGATACAAAATACTTAAATTAAAAAGTATTCTCATTGAAAGTATTTCAATCATACACTTTATTAAGAAATGTTTCTTTTTATTTATTCAATATTAGTTAAGTTTTTACGACTCCAAAATGCTGTTACGTCGCCGCATCAGCTGCCGACCGGGTCTCAATAAACTATCTTTCTCGCGCTTATAGATACTCATAAGACTTTCTTATCGCGCTCATTTAAAATCTTTATTCGCGTCTGGCTAGTGTTAAATCCCATTGAATTCGTCTGGAAATTAACACATATTTTTTAATATCATCTAATAAACACGCTGTAAACATTTTAGAATGCCTAAAGTATGTTTTCCAGGTATAATAATTAAACATATTTGGAATGGTCTGGTTACACTTTAAACCCGAAAAAAAAGTCTGGTATACTTATTTCTAGGTTAAATAGATGGTAAAATTTAGGAATAAACAAATTTCAAGTTGCCTAAAGAATTTATTTTTTTTGCAAATGTTATGGGTTACGCAGTAGCGAAATACCCCCAACCCCCCAGCCAGACTTAGGATTCTGGGTTTACCAGTTAATAAACTATACATTTTTAGTTATTCTAGCTTGCCTAAAATATGTTCTCTAAATATGTCGTCAGCTCTTAGGCTAATATTTGAAGTGTAACTTTTTACTAACAGCTATTGAATTGAAGAATTTGATGGACATGTTCGAAAAAGTGTAGCTTGAAATGTTGAAAAAGTAATAAATTAAAAAATTATTTTTTACGCGTAAAAAATAATTTTTTACGTGTAACAAATATTTCTTTACGTGTAACAAATAGCCCTATACGCGTAAAAAATATTTTTTTACGTGTAACAAATAGTTTTTCACACGTAATAATTAGATTCACTTTCATAAAAGTTGTATTAGAATATCAATATTTTTTATAAACACGTGGACTGCTCACAAACACATGTCGTGTCACTACGTATTTTTAAGCCGTGTCTAAACCACTTTTACCACTCTTCGTTACCACTAGCTCGTGTGTCACGGCCTTGAATTTTTACTCCCAGCGCGCGTAAAGAAATTTCACTTCAAAAATTGATCATTAAAACAATAATTATAAAATACGTATAAATAGAGAATTATTTTGTACTATCTTTATTCAGTTCTCTATAAAAGTAGAAAAAATAGTTCATCCAACAATTATAATTATCAACGTATTCAAATAACTTGTCTCTCTAGATTTCTATTGATTCTTCTAAAGTTCTGGATTTTTCTTTGCCGATTTTCTAACGATTTCAACAAAATCGTACACATCTTTCGCCAGGACATCTGGTAGTTCAAACGCAGCAAAATGTCCGCCATCTTCGTGGTCGGACACGTGGACCAGATTTTTGTATCTCTCTTTTAAAATGCTCTTCGGAAGATAGGCAATTTCGTTTTTGAATCGACTACAGCCAGAAGGAATTGTAATAGGGATACTGTAAAAATAAAGTTGGTATTATTGATATATCTACACAAAAAAAGTTACAATTAATGACTAAAAAATAATACTATTTTCCTTGTCGAAAATTTATTGTGTAGAATTCTATATAAATCTTAAGGAAGACCCTGTGCTTGTAAAATCGTCTAATTATTTCTTATTTTTGAATGGATTTATATCAAACCGTGTTATTATTATACAGGGTGGTCCGAACTCTATTCCGGAAACTTCGTCAGCATATTCTGCAGATAAAAATAAGTGAAAAAGTTCGTATAAATGTATGTTCTAAAATGCTTACTTTTGGAGATCCAGGGTGTAGAAGTTTCATTTTTATTTCGATTTTTTCCAATTAATTTATGAAGTAAAGTCAATATTTGTATGAAAATTTGTGTTTTTGAGTTTTTTAACATGAGAAATTTGATTTTGATGATGTCAATAAGAGCCCTACTCGTAGAGGGCACCACCTATATATTTTTAACTGGTTTGAAGAGTAACAACATTCCGTCCGTACCTGTATAAAAGTACTGGGTAAAAAAATATACATTTACCACGGTTTTTACGTAAAAAAAAGTCTTTTGTTAAAAATCCTTGGCTACGAGTAATGGTTCTAGAGATATATGGAATCGAAATTATATCAATGCCTATCATTGATATAAATTAAACATGTTAACTAAATAGTTATTAGACCGAAATCATAAATTTGAAATGTTTTTGTGCCAAAAATTCTTAGAAATATTTATGATTAATTTAAAAAAAAATTCCCTAGTTTATTATTTTAATCAAATAACTATCTACTCAACATGTTTATTTTTTTGTCAATAATGACATGTATTGACTATTTCCATTCGAAATATCTTGTGAACGGTTGCTCATAGCGAATCGAACATTATGAATTTATATTATAAGAAGGTAGAATAAATTAGTATCAGTATGGCAACAATCGAGTAGTCATTTACATGACCCTAAACATATTTTTACACCTTTACGTAAAAAATTTTGTTAATGTATATTTTTTTATGCAGTAAAACCAGTTAAAAAATATGAAGGTGGTGCCCTCTACAAGTCGGACTCTAATTGACATCAAAATCAAATTTCTCATGTCAAAAAACTCCCAAACACCTACTTCCATCTAAATATGGACGTTACTTCAGAAATTATTTGGAAAAAATCAAAATAAAAATGAAACTTCTACACCCTGTATCTCCGAAACGAAGCAAACGAATATGCTACCAAAGTTTCCGGAATACAGTTCGAATCACCCTGTATATAAAAGTATTTTTAATTGAAATTGTCCTAATCAGCTCGATCTATTGATGATGTTGCCAGTATTACTCATCAAGCAATACCTACTACTGTTATATTAATCAATTAAGGCCGCGTAAAACAAACATAACATATACAATTTTATATACTAATTCATTATAATAAAATTAATAATAAACATATTGCAATTATATTCCTGCAGATTGAGTGTTTTTTTTTAATATTTTCTCCACATATTATAAACGCGTGTTCAAATATTAATTGTGTGGAATATACAGGGTGTCCCAGGCTGAGCGTGCATTAGAAGTTTCTAGAGAACTAAAACATCTAGCTCGGAGATTTTTTGTACATCACAGTTTTACAACGAGATTTATCGATTAAAAATATTTTCGATATGGCGGCACTTCCGGAAATACCGGAAGTTGACAATAACTTTCTAATTTTTAATTGGTGCCTCCATTTTTCATTAAATACTTAAATTCTCTGTAAAATTTCATGAATTTTGATATTAAACAGTCTATATCTAACATTCGCCGTTTTTGAGAAAAAAACATATTTAAAATCTTTGAACGAAAAAAACTACCTGTCAAAAATATCTGTATAGCCTAAACGTCAAATTTAATGATTACCACAGTCACTGTGCCATAGAGAGAAAACATGTTGGTATTTATGTCAAAAATTAAACTGTTCGAATGTCATATAATAATGGCCGCATCTGTCATAGAATTGAGCGATTAAAAAATTATCATAAATCATTTTTTTTCAAATGGAAACCCACTTTTTTTATTTCACTAGTGAAAAGGCTTTTCAATTCGTTACATTTTGACTATAGACATGTTCCTATACCTAAAATAAATCGTTTTTAAGTTATTTAAGATTACGTTTTAAAGCGTATATTTTTCTTGATTTTAACCAGTAGCCTATGACTTTAAACGTCAAGTGATGTAAAACAATAGATCTGGCCATGTCATATTGTAACGCTTTCTTCAAAAAGCAGCATCATTTCCGAACCAACTTTGCGCTGTTTTTTTTCGATCATACGGAATATTATTAATAATATGAGGCGTTGCGGATAGTAAGGGCGAACCTTTGAATAAGAAGACTAAGGAAGGAGCATATCAAAAATCTTAGGTACACCGCGATGGGCCTCAAATATGGCCGACTTAAATTCCGGTTTATCAGTGTCGTTCTAATTTTATTTAAAAAATGTAAAACTATGATGTAGGGTAGACGTGGGGTAGACTCAATAATTTGTTGTTTTATTTTACGTTGTGAATAAATGTTGGTAGTTATTAAAATTGTTATAAAAATATATAATTCTAATAAAAATAGAAAAGTTATAATAAGTATTTATTAACACAAACATCCGATACGCTACTGAAGCAGGTAAGTCAAATTAACGTATCTAAATTCTTTGACATCTAACCTTTGACAAGTAATAAATAAAAGCTAAAATGCAAGAAAAATATATAATTTAGTTAATTTAAGTGAATTTCATAAATGATCGGTTTACTACACGTATGTATATTATATAGTCACTTACTAGCAAAAAGTGTTCCAATATTTCACTCAATTTTTGCCGAGATTTACCGCACGCTACACAACCAACTATTTTAGAGTCTTTTTCGATAAATCGCGATATTGTCACTGTTAATTTAAGTTCTGCCACAATTTCCATCTAGATTTACTACCTTTATAGAACTATCAGTAGTAGAATAAATAATAAATAACATAAAATAAGCTCCGTAAAGACTGACAATCCACAAAATTTCAAATCAAATTCAAATGTGTCAAATGAATCGTCAAACAGAACTGTCAAGGATCCCCACCCTAGAGTGCTTTTTCCGCCCACCATGCATGAATACATGGATAGCATTATGCTCCTTCCTTAGTCTTCTTATTCAAAGGGGCGAACACAACATTGTGTCAAAATTTTTTTTCATAATTTCATTTTACATTACAATTCCTACCTCATAGAACGGTCGAATTGTTGACTTCGTCTTTGCTTCGCCTTACAAACAAACACTTTGAAATAAACGAAAGTTTCAGATATGCGATAGCCGAGCGGGTAGTAAGGGGAACTCAACAGTCTTGCGCGGAACCGATATTGGCAGCGCGTGACTGATTCGTTTAGTAAGCTTGCTTGTTAGTTCATGTTTATTTTACTCCACCCTTTTGTTGAATTCGCCCGTCTGCAAATTTCTTTAAACTCAATTTTCTCAACAGTAGCTTTTGCTGAGTTCGCCCTTACTATCCGCAACGCCTCATATCAACTATTAGATATCACTAAAGAGCGAAAATACGAGATATAGTTTAATAAGTACATTTTTTAAACTCTTAAGCAGGCAGTATTTGTAATATAAAAGATTTAAATAATTCGTTTTCTGACAGATGGAAATAGAGTGTCTGACCGTTTGACACTTAATGTCAAAGGAAGCTAGATAAAATCAAGAAAAATATACGTTTTCAAAATTAAATCTTAAATAACTTAAAAACGATTTATTTTAGGTATAGGAACATTTTAGTTAAAAAGTGAAAACAACGAATTGAAAAACCTTTTCACTAGTGAAATATAAAAAGTGGGTTTCCATTTGAAAAAAAAAATTTAAGATAATTTTTTAATTGCTCAATTCCATGACAGCTACCGCCATTATTATATGTCATTTGAACAATTTAATTTTTGAAATAGATAGCCACATATCTTCTCTTTATGTCACAGTGGCTGTGGTAATCACTAAATTTGACTTTTAGGCTATACAAATTTTTTTGACAAGTAGTGTTTTTGTCCAAAAATTTTAATTTTTTTTTCTCAAAAACGGTTAATGTTAGGTATAGAGTGTTTAACATCAATATTCGTAGGATTTTACACAACATTTAAGTATGTAATAAAAAATTGGAGCACCATTTAAAATAAGAAAGTTGCTGTCAACTTCCGGTATTTCCGGAAGTGCCGCCATACTGAAAATATTTTTAATCGATAGATCTCGTTGTAAAACAGTGATGTGCAAAAAATCTCCGATCTATATGTTGTGGTTCTCTTAAAACTTCTAATGCACGCTCAGCCTGGGACATCCTGTATATCAACATAAAACGAGATGTAATTAACGAAATATCATCGTAACAACAGCTATTTTAGAAACGTCTAGATTTACTTGTTTCACTGAGATATATGAAAAAAAAATCCTTTGTCTCGGGTTAGAGTTACAGATACCGCCACATTTTGGAAATAGCTCAAAATGAACGAGGCAACAAAAAACGCCAAAAGAAATCCCCCACGCCCCCCTCACGAGTAGTTTTCAGGCGCTTTTAAGAATCGAATGTACGTCGATGGAAACCGAAATGAATCAAGACAGCTGGAAATAAATCGAAATGCGACAAAGTTGGGCGACGAATTGCGACCTTGATCTGTTTCGAAGAGTTCTCTGTATAGTGTAGAGGACGTTCCAATATAACCATTTCACTTACGAGCAACCTTTATGCCGGCAAAAGTTTTTTTTATATTTATGTTTTCTAGTAATATTCTCTACTAGTCTGAGGAGTACCGTCAATTAATTTACACAACGTAACCAAATAGAAATATTTTTTTTTTCTGAAATACTTACCGATCAATTCCTAAAGCATGCCGTGCTTTATTAAAATTCTCCGAATAGAGTCTCATTGAGGTGGTGATTGACCTGGTCACCCAGTATATCATAACGTTGTCCAATAGTTTATCCAGTGTAAATTTTCTTGTCAGTCCACCATCATCCAAGTCTTTCCACTCTGGATTAGTCCAAGTGGTAAATTTTTCGATTATGTAAGCAGCTAAACCGGCAGGACTGTCTCTGAGAGCTACTCCTACAAGGATAAATATTTGAAAATAATGTTTAATAAATTATACGTAGTGATTCAAAAGCTAAAAGGAAAACCAGTACACAATGTACTGGGTGGCTAAGAATAGACGCCACAAAACCTGTCAGAGATGTAGCTGGCATTACTGTCATCCTGTCCGAGAATTGTGAGATTTAGATTAGCACTGCGCCGGCGCCATTGTGCGTTGACAGTCGTCTACAGCGCAGCGGATAAACTTACTTTTACTTTTTCGTATCCGGATTATGGTTTATTAGCTCAGTAATGGGCTACGTCCAATGCTTCGCGTTTAGCCAGCCATAGGTCATCGAGGGTACGTATGAGGGAGCACGCAGAACATTGAAGAAGATGTTCCATGTCCTGAAAGGCGCCGCAGTCGCATTTGTCGTCATTTCTGTCCAGCAAACCCCATTTGATCAAATTGGATTTTACTAGGGCTACCCCAGTTCTGATACGGTTGAGCATTCTCCAGGTTTTCCAGTCGCTAGAAACACCATTTGGTGGGTCCTCTCTAAGTGGGTGGTGGGAGGGAGGTTCATTCAGGGGATGGTGTCTGGATTTAAGTCTACTTGGGCCGCAGTCTTGGCCAAAAATTGAGTGACGAGCATCAAAGATTTGTTTTAGCTTCTCAGTATGGTCATGAGCTTTTCTGCGTAAATCGGGGCTTGTAAAACCTGCGGCCTTGTAAAGGTTTTCTAAGGGGGTGGGTTTCATACAACCTGTCACTATTCTGCATGTTCTATTCAGGCTGATGTTCACCTTTTTTGCATGGGCAGATCAATACCACACTGGGCAGGCATATCCTTTTTTTTTAACCAATTTATTTATTCCCTCATATAAAACATATACAGAGAAGACCAGGCTACTAGTAACATAGCAAGTTGCCGGACGAATTTACGTTTACCCAATTTGCGTTCGTACTCGAGATTCACTGCCGGCTAGTCGGCTAGTCAGGCAGTACGCAGTTGCAGTTGTGCTTGGACGGGTCGGTCGTGACAGACTAGGAATACGACGCGAGGAGTGCCGAGTATTTATTATTTTCATTTTAAGTGTTTACCTTCACTTAACGTAACATTTAAAATAAAAATACTTAAATCTTTATTATTTGAGTGTGTTTACAAGCCAAAACTAAAAATAAATAAATTCTCTAAACCCCAAAAAAACTAAGTTATAACAAGTTTTGAAAAAGACCACCTTCTTGTGCTAGACAGAAGCCTAGGCGGTCGTAAAATCCCCGTCTGACATTGGTTAACCTATTAAGGCTAATAGTTTGGAAAGCCTCTCGTATTTTTACTTGAAGCTCATCCAGATTATTAGCCCTATTATGACCATACACTTTGGGTTTTACATAACCCCACAAAAAGAAATAATTGGGAGAAAGATCTGGTCACAAAGATGTCCACTAATTAAACGGTTAAACACTTGCTTTAACTCCTGTTCTTCATTAATCAACACATCAGGCTTCTTGTGTTTTTGTGGGTACACGTACCCATGTGTTTCAAAATTATTAACTCTTGATATAGTAGGTAAAGATAGAATTGCCCTGTTTACAAAAGTTTGTGGAAAAATTGTTTGTATATCCGAATAAGACCTATTTTGGAAATACCATTTTACAATTTGAATTTTCTCACGAACTTCGTAAACATCCCTTATTTTACTTAAAAAATAAATTTTACACCAGAACGGTCGCGAGAATCTATGTATTTGTTTTGGCTATTAAAACACGAATAAATACAAATTATGAAACATTCTTATCACATATCTACCTATTTTTATTTTATCGCATTTTTTCGCCTGCTTTTTATCCGCCAGGCGGGCTAATTCGTCCGGTTCTGCCTATGTTACTAATACGGTGGTCCGGTCTGTATACAACACATAAATAATGCACAGCATATACATATCATAGAAGATCTGGGTGTCGTTCTTCTTCATCTGTCGCAGCATCAGTGACCTGTTTGTACCAGATCCTGGCCAGATGGTGATATTCAGCAGTTAAGAAATATAGAGCTTCAGCAGAAATCCTGACCACGATAGGTTTGTCTCCCCATTTACTATTGGTCAGCTTCCTTATAAGGGAATTTCATGCTGCTACTTTTGTGCGTGTTTTTTTCGCAGTGATATTTGTAAGTTAATGTTCTGTCCAGCACGACGCGACGCCAAGATAGGTAGGCTTATCTGTGTGTTCTAGTGGTGTCCCGTTCCATGTGACATTAAGTCTGCGGGTCGCCTGTCTCGAATTCAGGTGGAATGCACTCACTTTAGTTTTAAAGATTTTTTTTGTAATAAGTTGACATTGTTTTTAGGGCGATTTCTAGTTTCTCCTCGATATCTTCGAACCCGTTTCCTTTAACTGTTATTGCTAGGTTATCTGCATATGCAAAGGTTCTAGTGTTCTCTGGAACAGGTTGATCATTTGTGTATATGTTGAAAAAGAATTGGTGCCAGCACGCTCCCTTGTGCCAGCCCATTCTTCTGGTTTCGCCATCGACTCTTTTTGCCCTCGAGCGTCACGAAAAACTGCCTATTTTTGAACAAGGATTCAAGTATCTTGACTAGGTAGTAATGTTTCAAGGTCTCGTTGGCTTTAGGCTGTAATATCTTGTGGTTAACCGTATCATAAGCGGAACTTAGGTCAACTAGGGCCAGTCCTATAAAGAATACTGTACCGTAGTTCTACTTTCAGTCAATAGAGTGATTGGTTGCCGGAAGCAGTGTTGTCATTACTACTGATTAATCCGTAGATCTACGGATTTTGGATACAGTACATTAATAATATGGATTTTCTATCATTAAATAATTTAATTTAATATTATATGATTAAATAAAGAACGGCGTCAGAGTTGGGCTGGAAATGAAGATCGCTATTATTTCATATGTAAAATATTATGGTAAATGTCAATAACCCATCATTTGACGACTAACTAAACGACTTTTTTCGATCATAAGACATATTCAGTACCTATAAAATAAATTTTATTTTCGTTGTTTATTCTATGTTTAACACGAATATGTTTTCAATACATAAACGCGGATTTTTCATCCAAAGATATTTCCGTCAAAGGTATTACGGATATTACACATTTTATTATGGCAACACTGTCGCTTTCAGATCCACACCTTCTTCGATGTGCCTTCGCTGGCCGAATTAGAGAAAATAAGTGCTTTATGCGTTGGCTGCAGAACGATTGGTGTCTCCACCGTACAGCACTTGAGATGTAAGGGGAAATTAAATCAGCCTTGTCTCGAATTCGCCCATTAGGTTGCGTATCTTCCCAATTCTTTCAATCAACGATAATAGTTTTCAACTAAGAAACTTAGAAACAAAAGAAAAAATATATAATGCCAGTGCCTTCAGTGACGCTTTGCAAATTTTCCCAACGTAGTAGTTAAAACTGTGACGTTTGTCGGATACAGGGGCCAAGGTCTTGTACCACATCCCAGTTTTAAATTGTAATACTTTTTATGTCGTAATCGTATATGATTTTTAACGTTTTAGCGTAAAATGTATTTAATTTCACTTACCAACAGTGTCAGGTTTGGTTGACTGTAGATGCATATAGCCAGTTTCCAACAATATAAAACTGAATGTCTTAGACAGTGGATAATTTGCTTCAATTTCGTACCCCTCTGCTATTAATGAGGGGAAAAATGATCCTATAAAAAGCTTTAAGTTGGATATGGGAGAGTTCACAAAACAGAGGTTTTTGTGAATAGCTATAACATGATCTGCGAATAGAATAGCAATATCTGTAGAAATAATAGAACCCCAATCTCCTGAAAAAAAATTTACTTTATTAAATATATAGTTTATATAGGAGGATTAAAAAATATTGATGTTTCAAATTACAATATGAAAAATTGAAAATATCGAATAAAAATAGAGTGTCGCAAATAAGGCCGGAGAGGATTTTTTTATTAATTGATTTAGGGGGTAAAATCCCCCAAATTTGGGGGTACGGCAGTGCCCCCGCCAAGTCGAGCACAGCCGTACCATCCTTTTTTCGAAGGTATTAGCGGCATATTTGATCACCCTGTAACTTCGTTGTGGATAAAGCAAGAATATTAGTTTTCACTACACTTGAAGACATACTATAGCTGGCTAGGTTATCAAAATATCTAGTAATTATCCCTCATAGTTTATGAATTATCGCTTGTCAAATTTCTTTAATTTCGACATTGACTCACTGACAGATCATAAAAATTCTAAAGTACTTCTAGATGTGTCACAAACTCCAAATTTAGAATTTTAGGTAGCTTTAAGCTTATAAGCAAAGGAAAAAATGAAAAATTTTGAAATATCCTTATGGATTAAAAGTTAGCTGTCTAGCCGCGACCGGTAGCTGGCTTTCCAGTCGAGAAAAAGGTAGAAAACTAGAATTAATCGAAGCGGTCTTTTCTGATTTTATTTATACAGGGTGAGTTTCCTACGATGTTCTCTATGGATATCTTGAAAACTACTGGAGATAGAGAGTCGGTTAAATGGGGAAAGAATTGCAGTTTTGTGGGGTCACAAATATGCGCCTTTCAGATTTTTGAAAAAGTTCATGGCTTACTAGATATTTTGAAAGAAAGAAATTTCGGTTATTTTAAAAATTGTCCCCAATTCCATTATAAGCTATTTTAGACAAAAAGTTTTCAGATAAAAGTTGTAGATAATCACATCCTTAATGAGTTCGTGTCCTCTGTTTTTTTCTAAAGCCTGTCATTTTTGACATATGACACAAACATATGTTTTTTTAAATGGAAACCATAGTTGGCCATGACTTCATAAAAAGCGGCATTTTTTAAGCTTTTTAGCGATATCAGCTATAATATGTTTTTTTTCGAAAAATTATTGAGTTATAGCCAATTCTTATCATTTTTAAACAATTTCAGTTAGTTAGCCATGGAAACAAGTTCAATCGCCGTTACTCTCAGAAATGTGAAGCTGTCACATTCAAACTTTGTAAATTCAAATAAACAAAAATTGTAAATATGAATTTCTCAAATGAAGAAAAGCGTGTAGATACTCGCGCATCAATAGAGTGTTTCCAAAATGACTTTCATTATGCCCTCCCCCCCACATAATGAAAGAAATGTTAAAAATTATTTATATCATAATAATATAAACTCAGGGATAGGAAGAGGTGGACTAATTGCATAGGCCTCCTCGATCAGCTGACCTATCCATTTTAGATTTTTTTATGCGGTATGGTTAACAATAAGGTTTACTAAAGAACTTATGAATTAAGAGAGGCACTCGAGAAGTGGCGCTACGAGAGAAGTTTAATTAAGTCAACCGGTCCTTTTGTGAGAATAGGTAATAATTCAGTTTTAAAAAGATGTAACTCTCAAAACAATGGCGGATTTTTTGAACATTTTCTAAAATAACTTAAAGTGTATGCAGTGACTGCAGCGATATTATTTTTTAAGTTTTAGTTTTTGTAATGTAAATTCTAAAGAACCGTTTAGTAATATATTCTGACTTTTTATAAGTTATAAATCAAAAAAGAACAGAATGTCATGCAATTTAAGTGAAATTAGTCAAGAAAAATAAGAATTGGCTATAACTAAAATTAACTTTTCTAACAAGTCTTGAAAATCGTTCTCTAAAAAACATTCACCGGTCAACGTATCCTCGAAAATGTATGGTCAAGAAAAGTTGAACCAATAATCTTACACGCTTTTCTTCATTTGAAAAATTCATATTTACAATTTTTGTTTATTTTAATTTGACTGGATAAAAATGACAGGCTTTAGAAAAAAACGGAAGACACAACCTCATTAAGGATGTGATTATCTACAACTTTTATCTGAAAACTTTTTGTCTAAAATAGCTTATAATGGAATTAGGGACAATTTTTAAAATAGCCAAAAAAAAACAAATAGAATTTTTTTTTTCGAAATATCTAGTAAGACATGAACTTTTTCAAAAATCTGAAAGGCGCATATTTATGACCCCACAAAACTGCAATTCTTTCCCCATTTAATCGATTCTCTATCCTCTATCTCCAGTAGTTTCCGAGATACCCATAGAGAACATCGTAGGAAACTCTTCCTGTATATCAATGTACCTATATACCAACAATAATTCAAGGATTATGATTTTTTTCTAGTCAGACTTTAACTTGTAATAAAGTCCCTGTTTATTTTTTAAGTTTAATATGTTAATTGCAAGGCTTGGACATATTTCGACCAAGGCTTGATAGCGCGGTGGCAAAGTTTTCCGCTAGTTCGGAAGGCCGAACTCGGGTGGCTACATCGGGACACAATTTTTTTAATTTTATTTTCGTTACTATTTTGATTGTAAAATATTAAATACATATCTTGATTCAATTGATATTATCTGACTTAATTAATTATACGTTAATTCAAAGTTTATGAGTTATAGTCAAACTTCTTTAATATTATTTTGAATGACCCGAAAAAAAATAGAAGGATAACCTACAAAAAGAAATAAGATCCCATCAAAAACATAGAATGTAAAAAATGCCAAGTCTCGCAACACAATTCCTCCGCTATAAAAAGTTGTGAGATCTCATGTAAAACCAAGTCAGTTTATTTTATTTAGTCTTCCTTTACGCACCTATTCAACAATTTTGATATAAATTGTTAGTATCAATATTAGTCATCTTTATTTCTATATTAATTATAATGACTTGGCAATTGCACGATATGATATTCTATAGTAATTAAAAAACTTTATTCTTAAGTGCACCGTTTATTAGATTTACTTAGTAATCGAAATAGTAGATTATTCTTTTTTATAATTATGGTGCCGTGCATGCAATTGCCAAGTCATTATAATTATTATAGAAATAAAGATGACTAATATTGATACTAACAATTTATATCAAAATTGTTGAATAGGTGCGTAAAGGGAGACTAAACGAAATAAACTGACTTGGTTTTACATGAGATTACACAACATTTATAGCGGAGGAATTGTGTTGCGAGACTTGGCATTTTTTTACATTCTATGTTTTCGATGGGATTTGACTTTAGCGTTAGTTTTTGATTTGAATTAGTTTAAAAATTACATAATAAAATTAACATTTTTGATCTCAGGTATCTAAAAGGTAATTTTTAAACAAATTATTTGAAAAAGTTGTTTATTTTTTACTTACATAAGTATACCAGCTTTCAGCTATCTAGATGATTTTTTTTTCATTTTTTTAACCAATATGAGCTGTTTCTTGAGATAGAGGCAAAATCATTATTGATGGTGTAACGTTTATTATTTAGATATTTATCTACACTCACTAGCACAGAGCCTATACAGGCCGAGGTTCAACAAATTAGAGACAAGCTGAAATTTGGCATGGAGCTTCATTTTGTAGATCTTTAATCATCCTGAAACCCCAGCGATGAACCGTTGAGCCCGTCATCCCAAAACCACCCCTACAAGGGGTAAAAATGGCCCTTTTTTTACTTTTTCTTCAATAACTCTAAAACTACAAATTTTAGGAAAAAAAGTTACGAGTAAAAAATTTAAGAGAAAAAAATTTCCTACCACATAGGTAAAGAACCAAAATTTTTAGAATTTCAGTGGGGCAGGTGCGAATTCTTTAATTTATGAGGATTGTTTTAATAACCCACCATTCTGTGTTTAACTTCAAATGAAAGCATTTTTGAGATAAATCTCGAGACCAAAAAATTTATTAGTACAAGTTCCTATAAGAACGATCTTTTTAATAAAAGTAAGTTACCAGTGGCGGAGATATATTTTTTTAAATGTGCGTTTTTTACATTTTAAAAACATTGAATATGAAAAATTGCAATTTTACAAATAATTTTCCATGAAAATATTGAAAAATTTACACGTTTAATAACAAAATAAGAAAAACCTTAGCCAAAAATAGGATAACTTATTTTAAGGATTTTCCTCATTCACTTCCACATTTGTTGGCTTCATACATGTAATGCCATTGCATTGACCACATGGCATAGTGCAGGTGAGTCCAATTCACTTGCATGTATACATGCTAAAACCCATGTAGGAGCAATGGACTGGTTTGAATGTATTTGATTCATCTCTCGATTTTTCAGATTCCAACCCCAATCTTGCCGTGGTAAATTGTTATTTAACCAAGCCTGTACCTGTAAGTTAAAAATGAGAATTTAGTTTAACATTTGAATGCAATATATATTTAACATAAACTCTAAGTCCATGATATTTCGCACTATTGGAGGTAGGTGGTAGTGATGTCAAGTTGAAGTTGGTATTAAGACTTCGTTTAGGTACTCTTGATAAAGCATGTATCTGGCACTATCCAAATCTACTTTTTTGTTGAGTTTTTAACATATGCTGCTATAAAAAACTGAGATGTAACTTCTTCTAACTTCTCCTTTGTAGCCTCGGGATTATAAAATTATTTTAATAGCTCACATAACTTTTTCTTCTGGATGGTGTTCACTAAATTAATCTTCCCTTTATTGAATACAGCAGACGTTGTGTCACATTCTTCAGATCCCCCAATTTTTGTTGTAAGGCCGATATGTCGATTATTTTATTTAGTTTTGACACCTTTCCCGGACGAATCATAAACAGTCTCTTGTGGCAATAATGAATCAGTAACACCATATTGACCGTATCTTCGCTGACTACTACGGTCCCTTCTGGTAAATTGTCACTTATTACGACCGCTGTAGTTACAATAAGAGGAGCGGCATCACCATCAGCGAATTTAACATTGATTCCATTTTCCAACAATACTTCATAGCCATCAAAAACAAGAGTGACATTTTTACCATAGTGATATGTTATATAATTACTATAGTATTGAGAAAACAGATCTGAAACTATCGAAGGGTACAGGCTTGGTTAAATAACAATTTACCACCGCAAGATTGGGGTTGGAATCTGGAAAATCGAGAGATGAATCCAATATATTCAGACCAGCCCATTGCTCCTACATGGGTTTTAGAGAAAAAATTTTGCAATTGCTCTTCGGGAGGCTGTAAAAAAGCATGTACATGCTAATGGGACTCACCTGCACTATGGCATGTGGTCAATGCAATGGCATTACATGTATGAACCCAACAAATGTGGAAGTAAATGAGGACTATCCTTAAAATAAGTTATCCTATTTTTGGGCTAAAGGCTTCTTATCTTGTTATTAAACGTGTAAATTTTCAATATACCTATTTCATGGGAAATCATTTGTAAAACTGCAATTTTTCTTATTCAATGTTTTTAAATGTAAAAAACGCAAATGTTATCTCCGCCACTGATAACTTACTTTTATTAAAAAGATCGTTTTTATAGGAACTTGTATCCTAATAAATTTTTTGGTCTCGAGATTTATCTCAAAAATGTTTTCATTTGAAGTTAAACATAGAATGGTGGGTTATCAAAACAATCCTCCTAAATTAAATAATTCGCACCTGCGCAACTGAAATTCTAAAAATTTTGGTTCTTTACCTTTGTGGTAGGAAATTTTCTTTTCTTCAATTTTTTACTCGTGACTCTTTTTCCTAAAATTCGTAGTTGTAGAGTTATTGAAAAAAAAGTAAAAAGAGGGCCATTTTTACCCCTTGTAGGGTTACCCCGGTTTTGAGGTGACGGGCTCAAGGGTTCATCGCTGGGGTTTCAGGACGTTTAAAGATCTGAAAAATGAAGCTCCATGCAAAATTGCAGCTTGTCTCTAATTTGTTGAAGGTCACCCATGTAAAACGATGTATCGGCCCTGAGCTACACCGGCACCTTAAAATTTAGATGTAATTTAAAGTTTAATATATTTTGTTCTAAGGGACCGATTTTGATGATTTTTAAGCAATTTATAGTTAAATTATTTGACTTTTTATTATCTAAAATCATTTTCTAAATTAAAAATAAAAATTTCATCTGTTAATTATACGAGGGAAAACAAAATGTAGATATTTTGGTGAAAGTTTGAAACACCCTGTAGAATATATTAACAAAGCAAGCGATTTGAAAATTATTTTATCATCTAGGTACATATTTTCTCGATAGTTTGTTTTTTTACTCATCTCAATAGCTTTATTTTTATTGGAGATATTCGCTTTTGAATATCGAACGACAGTGGCGAAAGACATTTCAAATTTACGTATTGTGTTTTATAGTATTGTTTTTAAAATGTTAGTATTTACCTCCTTGAATGTAATATTTTTTGTATTTCAATTTTTGCATGAGATTATCGAAAATCTTAGCTATTCCGAACGGTCCCAGTCCTTGCTTGGATGCCCCATCGGAGAATCCATATCCAGGTAAAGAGGGAGCTACTACTTCGAAAACAAAATTGCGCCCTGTAAATAAATAAACAGAATTGTAATTTATATACAAATAATGAAAATTAGCCCTGTCAGTAGCGTTTGCCGCCTAGCTGACAAAAAATGCTTAACGTTTGAAGAGGTAAGTAGAATGTATATTCAGGGAAGCGCAAGTATTTTCGGCGCCGTCGTGCGAAATAAGGGTAGCCGCCTTTCTCCAATATTATAATATTAAGCCAAAATTTCCAATGACCAGCGGCGCGGCGCTTGACATTGGTGGATAATATATGTTCACCACTAGCGTTCATAGATAAAAGTATTACTTAAATTTTATGTTATTTTGTTGATAAGTGCCAAAACATTGCTTTATTATTTTTTTATTTTATTTTAAAGTCAGTGACCGCAGGCGCCTTTAGGGCTTTTATTGGCGCCGTCGTGCGCCGCACGACCTTACCCATATGGACGGCGCGTCCCTGTGTATATTCTCTCTAAAAGCAAAAACTATTTAATGTCCCAAAAAGGGTATATATACAAATTATTTAACAAAACTTTCCAGCATTCATGGGGCCGGCCCAGGACTGAGAGTAGATATACAGGGTCTCCCAGGCTGAGCGTGCAATAGAAGTTTATAGAGAACCACAATATCTAGATCAGAGATTTTTTGAACATCATTGTTTCATAACGAGATCTAACGATTAAAAATATTTTCAATATGGCGGCACTTCCGGAAATACCGGAAGTTGACAGCAACTTTCTTATTTTAAATGGGTACCCCCATTTTTTATTACATATTAAATTCTCTGTAAAATTTTATGAATTTTGATATTAAACACTTTATACCTAACATTAACCGTTTTTGAGAAAAAAAATATTTAAAATTTTTGGACGAAAAAACTACCTGTCAAAAAATTTTGTATAGCCTAAAAGTCAAATTCAGTGATTACCACAGCCATTGTGACATAAAGAGAAGACATGTGGCTATCTATTTCAAAAATTAAATTGTTCAAATGTCATATAATAATGGCGGTAGCTGTCATGGAACTGAGCGATTAAACAAATTATCATAAATCATTTTTTTCAAATGGAAACCCACTTTTTTTTTATTACACTAGTGAAAAGGTTTTTCAATTCCGTTACTTTTTAAATATACATATTCCTATACCTAAAATAAATCGTTTTTAAGTTATTTAAGATTTAGCTTGAAAACGTATATTTTCCTTGATTTTATCTAGTTTCCTTTGACATTAAGTATCAAACAGTCAGACAATTTATTTCTATCTGTCAAATAACGAATTATTTGAATTTCGTATATTATAAATACTGACTGCTTAAGAATTTAAAAAGTCTATTTATAAAAATATAACTCATATTTTCGCTCTTTAGTGATATCTAATAGTTAATATTATTAATAATATACCGTATAATCCAAAAAAACATAGCAAAGTTGGCTTGGAAATATTTTTTTTTTAAATCAAGACAAATATACGCTTTAAAACTATATAACTTACAAACGATTTATTTTATGTATAGAAATATGTATAGTTAAAAAGTAACGAATTGAAAAACCATTTCACTAGTGAAATAAAAAAAAGTGGGTTTCCATTTGAAAAAAATGTAATTTTTAATCGCTCAATACGATGACAGCTGCGGCCATTATTATATGACATTTGAATAATCTAATTTTTGTAATTTAATGTCTTCTCTTTATGGCATAGTGGCTGTGGTAATCTCTAAATCTAATGTTTACGTTATACTCATATTTTTGACAGGTAATTTTTTTCATCCAAAAATTTTAAATATTTTTTTTTCTCAAAAACAGTTAATGTTAGGTATAGAGTGTTTAATATAAAAATCCATAAAATTTTACAGATAATTTAAGTATGTAATAAAAAATGGGGGCACTCATTTAAAATAAGAAAGTTGCTGTCAACTTCCGGTATTTCCGGAAGTGCCGCCATATTGAAAATACTTTTAATCGATATATCTCATTGTGAAACAATGATGTGCAAAAAATTTCCGATCTAAATATTGTAGTTCTCTAGAAACTTCTAATAGACGCTCAGCCTGGGACACCCTGTATAAATATACTAGCAAATCCAGCCACGCGTTGCTGTGGCTAAGGTTAGTGATGGGCAAGTACCCGGTATATTGAAATAGCACCCAGTATATACCCAAAAGTATATACCCAAAATGGTATATTGAATTTGGGTAAACACCATTGTATCCGGTATATAACAATCATACCCTTTTTAACTTAAGGTATTATGACAATTTTTGAAAACAATTTGTTGTTAAATTAAAAGTATTGAATTATTATTATCGCTATTAAAAATTGGGGTTGATGGTAGAAGGGTGAAACTTTAGGGTTGTATGTATTTTTTAATGCCACATCATAAAAAAATAAAAATAAAAAATGTTGTCAAAAAAGTAAAGAAAAAATTGAGGTGGGCCACCCTTATCACTTAGGAGTATAAAAAATAGATAACAACCTATTCTCACACCTACTGAATATACGTATAAAATTTCATTAAAATCGGTTAAGTCGTTTAGGAGGAGTATGATAACAAAAAATTAAAACAAAGTCATCTCCTATTAAAAAATAGGGGTTGATAGTAGAATGGTGGAAATTTAGGGTTGTATGTATTTGTTTAATAAATGAAAAAGTATGTAATTGTTTACTAAAAAAAAGATTGGTGAGTCACCCTTGTCACTTAGGGATATAAAAAATAGAAAACAACCTAGCCTCCAAACCTTCTCCAAACCCCCAACCCTAAAACTAACAGATCGACTAGATCTCAAATAAGTAAAAGAAGAAGAAAAAATATCATATATTCTGTTTCTAGATCCTTTATGGTTAGGAGATTATTATAGCATCGTGTGTGCACTTTTTGTGGCTACTTGGTATGTCCTTGTTGATGTTTGTTTCAAGGATCATGTATTCCTGTAAATACTAAACATGTATTGTCGGCATATCCGTATATAAAACACTAAATCACCACAATACACCAAAACACTTTTACTTTTACACTGAACGCGCGTTTCGCTAACCATGTTAGCATCATCAGCAGATGATTATAAATTAGTAACATGGTTAGCGAAACGCGCGTCCAGTGTAAAAGTAAAAGTGTTTTGGTGTATTGTGGTGATTTAGTGTTTTATTTTGCTGTGTAACACCAAAGGTTCCAACCCTCAACTGTAATATCCGTATATGACACCATTTAATGCTAGTTCGCAGAAATTAATTTTATCTCGTTAGGTAATTCTAATCAGATAGTAACTGTAAAATGGAAATAGATTTCATTTAGGTATTGATATTTTAACTGAATTTAAACAGTTTTTAATAGACTCCTCTGCTAAAAACTGTTCTCTGAATAGTTATATTTAGAGATTTTAAACAGTTTCTAGATTATAAGGTTCGCTTTTTTTTCTTTTTGCTTGTAACGAATGACTTCGATTATTAGACTATTGAGATTAGATTATTACACTCTTGAAACGTTTAGGATTTTTGTCGATTAGGTAAATGTAAATTATATTAAAAATCATTTATGAAAAGTACAGTTTTTTTATGCATTTATTTACCTTTCTGTGGCGTTGTCAGAATTGGTAAAATTTCGTAAAATTCTCTTGTCGAGCCGGGCCATCCATGTAGAAGCAGCAGTGGCAGAACATCGACCCCTTTTGGTACATTTGTCGGTTTAACGTGAAGAAAGTGAATATTTAGGCCCTAGACACAATTATTATCATAATTAATAAATATGTATTAACACACAGATTATTAATAAATATGTATTCAATAGGGATATATTATTTTATATAATAACTTTGATAAGTTCATAACACTTACATAATGCAGTTAAGGGTTGGAGCCTTTGGTTTTACAACAGCAAGAAAGATCGCTAATTATGACGAATTAGTGTTTTATTTTGCTGTTGTAACACTAAAGGTTCCAACTAGTGATGGGATAACTCAAGCGAAAATTCGCTCGAGTACTCGATTATTGAAATAACTGACATCGCTCGATTATGAAGGAGTGATGCAAGTGACGTGTACCAAGCGACGAATGCAAGCGATCGTAGAATGAAATAAATTGAAATCCGATTTTAATGTGACATACTCGATAAAAAGCCGAGCGAATTTTCTACATACATTGCAGGTAGCAAATTTATACGACGCCGTATATATATTTATCCGTTGCGTATCTGAGGGACAAAATTTTACGACCTACAATGCTTTGAAATAAACTAAATCAAGCGAATCGCTCGTCGCCATTGCTATTCATCACTGCGCACGCAACTTACTGCTTGGCGCTTGGCGTTAACGAGTACTTACAACAAGCGACGGGTGAAAATCCGTATTTTTAAATTCGAGTCATATTTCGCTCGAGCGATCACTCGGCTATTGCAATCGCTTGAAACTCGAATACCTACTCGATTATTGACATTAATCGGTTTTCCCATCACTAGTTCCAACCCTAACTGTAATCTTCGGTCGCTCCACGGTCTGCGGAAGTAAATCTTTATCCTAAGTTTAGTACTAAGATTACGTTATTAGGAGCAGATATTTGGTTTCTTAAATACTAGAAAGCCAATTCAGTTTATCCTAGTTTATCTTCTGATGATGCTAACATGGTTAGCAAAACGAGCGTCCGGAGCCCGAATTCTGTAACTTAGAAAACGCTAAGCGCTTTTATACGCTCAGCGTATATGACGTTAATTTTCGCTGAGCGCGCACTTAGGGCTCTAACTCACTGACGACCAGGTGACCAGCCGGATGCATTGTCAGATCTAACGATTTTTTACGTTTTACCAATTAGAAAATATTGTTTCAGAAATGTAAAAATATCCGAGTTAACTAAAAAGCGAAGTTGCTATTCATGAGCTTATTAAATGTTCTAATATTAAATAATGCATTGAAAATATTCTTGGATTTTTCGTTAATAAATACTGGTGTGGTAAATGGAGTAAGTAAAATCTCCAACCCCGACTAAGTAAAATTCGTTAAAAAATACTGGTGTGGTAAATGAAACAAGTAAAATCTCCAACCTCGTTATTTCCATGTTTTTCAAATCCGCGATGCCTGCTATTCCATCAGTCGCTTCATAACAGAATATTCTACATCCTACGTCTATGTAATTTAATATGTGTAGAGTGAGACATGTAACTCGAGAGATTTTCAGCATTATATCAATAAAGGACAAAAACAGTATTGTTCCTAAAGGTGCGTTCAGATTTGAGCATTTTAGCCCGAACGAACCGAGCGCGCACGAACAAGCAGAACAAATAGGCCGATCAAAAAGCATTTTGTACGCGCGACCGACAAAAAGGGAGATATTCTGTTTCTTTTTTCTACTGATATGGACTTCTACTGATGGCTCTTATTGACTTTAAAAGTAAACATATTAGGGCCATCGTAAAAAAGGTCGTCAGACACTAGCTCTAAATATAAGCAGGTAGAAAGTTTAGCTTCCAGTTATTTCAATGTTTACAATATAAATTCCTCTTTTTTTATTGTTACTGAGGATGTACAAGAGTAATTACTTCTATTTTTATGAATGTTTAAGTTACTTTTACTCTTAATTTTTTTTTTAAAATAATGTATCTAGTAGAAATATAGTCTAATGAACCCTGTTTGAAAAACGTTAAATTAAATATAATATTTAAAATACAGTTGTCCTCCTTGTACATGACTACAATACAACTAAAAAAACTAATTTAATAAAAAAACAAGTGGTTGTAGAAAAAATTTAAATATTATTTTTTTTATGTTTTAACACCGAAACTCGAAGATATAATAACAGGTATCATACCAATCATAAATAGAGTAGGTATGTCATATAAAAATGTTTTGATTTTTTACTAGAATCGACCCTTGAAAAAAACAGGGACTAGATTTAAGTTTCCCTTTGATCCAGTCTGTATACTATTTCTTTGGATTTTCTGCACGTGTGCAAAAACTACACTAAAACACTTTATCTTATAGAAAATAAAATATTGTGCGTTGAATTTGAGGGATTTCATCTGAAAAAATATTAATTTGGAAGAAAACCGGCAACAAGCGGCAGAAAATAATAATATTTTAGTGCAGTCTATTGGTCGCAACGATCAACGGACGGCCAGGACTTTAGTGTGCGCGGTATCATTTGATTTAATGCTTTTAGAGGTAGCAGCGGCCTGGCCGGTGCGACCTGGTCGTCAGTGTGTTCGAGCCCTTAACTACCAATTTGGGTATTCTCATCTGACGCGCTTGGCGTCTTTACTGATTGCGCTAAGCGCTTTGAAAACGGTTGCCTTAAGAGTCCATTTCACTAGTCCGAAAAAGTAGCAAAATAAGCGTTCGGCATTTAACGTTTTATGTCAAACTGGCTAGGTATTTTTACACAAACGAAGAAGAAAATTAAAGATAAAGGATTATACTAAATCCGTCGTGTGGCACATTTTTAGATAACTTGTTCATTTTTAAGATTTTGATGGTCAAACATCAACAAAATAAACCTTATGTTTGGACTAAATTTTCTCGAAAATAAAAATATAATTTAAAATTCTGTTACAGGAGGGATATAGATTGAAGTTTTGTGATTACAGTGATATAAATATAATTTATATGGTTTTGTAACAAATTGCTCGCTATTTTATGGCAAATGCTCAAGCTCTGCAAGCCCTAATCTAAGGAATTTAAAAATTATATTTTTTCGCTGAAAGCACGTGCGTTTGGAATTATGGGTGTGGCTTAACACGACAGGATCGGGCTAAGGTTTAGGCAGATTTCTGAATCTGAAATCTAATACATATAAAAAATTGTCTTGTCACAGTTTTAGATACCGTACTCCTCCATAACGGCTTAACCGATTTTGATGAAATTTTATATGTATATTCAGTAGGTCTGAGAATAGGTTGTTATCTATTTTTAATACCCTAAGTGACAAGGGGGGCCCACCCCATTTTTTAAAATTTTTTTGGACAACATTTTTAATTTTTGTTTTTTTTACGATGTGGCATTAAAAAATACATACAACACTAAATTTTCACTTTCAAATAGGTTTTTTTTTTAATTTTTTGTTACGTACTTCTCCGTAACGGCTTGACCGATTTTGATGAAATTTTATATGTATATTCAGTAGGTCTGATAATAAGTTATTATCTATTTTTTATACCCTTAAGTGACAAAGGGGGGCCCACCCCAATTCTTTTTATTTTTTGGACAAAATTTTTAATTTTTGTTTTTTTTACGATGTGGCATTAAAAAATACATACAACACTAAATTTTCACTTTCAAATAGGGTTTTTTTTTAATTTTTTGTTACGTACTTCTCCGTAACGGCTTGACCGATTTGATGAAATTTTTATATGTATATTCAGTAGGTCTGAGAATAGGTTGTTATCTATTTTTTTATACCTAAGTGACAAGGGGGGCCCATTCCCCATTTTTAAAATTTTTTGGATAAAATTTTTAATTTTTATTTTTTACGATGTGGCATTAAAAAAAATACATACAACACTAAATTTTCTACTTTCAAATAGGTTTTTTTAATTTTTTTGTTACGTACTTCTCCGTAACGGCTTGACCGGATTTTGATGAAATTTTATATGTATATATTCAGTAGGTCTGAAAATAGGTTGTTATCTATTTTTTTATACCCTTATGGCAAGCAGGGGGGCCACTCCCAATTTTTTATTTTTGGACAAAATATTTAATTTTAGTTTTTTTTACGATGTGGCATTAAAAAATACATTTAACACTAAATTTTCACTTTCAAATAGGTTTTTTTTTAATTTTTTTGTTACGTACTACTCCGTAACGGCTTGACCGATTTTGATGAAATTTTATATGTATATTCAGTAGGTCTGAAATTATTTGTTATCTATTTTTTTATACCCTTAAGTGACAAGGGGGGGCCCACCCCAATTTTTTTTATTTTTTGGATAAAATATTTAATTTTTGTTTTTTTACGATGTGGCATTAAAAAATACATTTAACACTAAATTTTCACTTTCAAATAGGGTTTTTTTTAATTTTTTGTTACTTACTTCTCCGTAACGGCTTCAACTGATTTTGATGAAATTTTATATGTATATTCAGTAGGTCTGAAAATAGGTTGTTATCTATTTTTTATACCCTTAAGTGACAAGGGGGGCCCATTCCCAATTTTTTTTATTTTTTGGACAAAATATTTAATTTTAGTTTTTTACGATGTGGCATTAAAAAATACATTTAACACTAAATTTTCACTTTCAAATAGGGTTTTTTTTTAATTTTTTGTTACGTACTTCTCCGTAACGGCTTGACCGATTTTGATGAAATTTTATATGTATATTCAGTAGGTCTGAAAATAGGTTGTTATCTATTTTTTTATACCCTTAAGTGACAAGGGGGGCCTACCCCAATTTTTTTTATTTTTTGGGTAAAATATTTAATTTTTGTTTTTTTACGATGTGGCATTAAAAAATACATTTAACACTAAATTTTCACGTTCAAATAGGGGTTGTTTTTTTTTAATTTTTTGTTACCATACTTCTCCCGACTTCTCCGTAACGGCTTGACCGATTTTGATGAAATTTAATATGTATATGCAGTAGGTCTGAGAATTGGTTGTTATCTATTTTTTATACCCTTAAGTGACAAGGGGGGCCCACCCCAATTTTTTTTATTTTTTTGGACAAAATTTTTAATTTTTGTTTTTTTACGATGTGGCAATAAAAAATACATACAACACTAAATTTTCACTTTCAAATAGGGGTTGTTTTTTTGTTACCATACTTCTCCCGACTTCACCGTAACGGCTTGACCGATTTTGATGAAATTTTATATGTATATTCAGTGGGTCTGAGAATAGGCTGTTATCTATTTTTTATACCCTTAAGTGACAAGGGGGGCCCACCCCAATTTTTTTATTTTTTTGGACAAAATTTTTAATTTTTGTTTTTTTACGATGTGGCATTAAAAAATACATACGACACTAAATTTTCACTTTCAAATAGGGGTTGTTTTTTAATTTTTTTGTTACCATACTTCTCCGTAACGGCTTGACCGATTTTGATTAAATTTTATATGTCTATTCAATAGGTCTGAGAATAGGTTGTTATCTACCATTTTTGAGATTTTGATGGTCAAACAAAGTTGTATTTATTATACTTAAAAAATATTGATTGAAATAAATTTAATAGTTAATTTAATTATAAGCGATACTTTCTTATAATTTAAAAATAAATTTTAATTTAAGTTCAGGGTTTAATATTTTTTTCTTCAAAATTAATCGGTACCCCACATCGTTCAACACGTCATTTAAAAATATAAGGTTTATAAGACATGTCTATATTGGAAAGAGTATTATAAGTTAAAATTCCGTTACAATACAGACATAAATTAAGGTTTTCTGATTACAGTTATATTTAATTTATTTTTTTAATAAATATTTTTTATGCTGAATTGTGAAGCTCTGCAATTTGTTGTCTGTGGTCATATCGTCAGTTTCGCGTAAATTATATGTTACTTGTTCTATTTAAGCAAACTGATGGCATATTTAGTTTTTTCGGTATTTTTTTACTTTATTCGATAGAAAATGACACTCTGAATAGAATGACATATCATATGTCAACTTTTGACATTTTCGCATATGGTTTATTTGAAATTATAAAGGAAATTATAACATGCGGTTCATAACGATAATTTGACTCGAAATACCAGTGTGAGGTATCAAATTATTCGTAAAAATGCTTTTCCCAAATATGCTAATTAGCCACCCTCGTTCTATTTGAAAAAATTGAGATATGATTAAAAATACGATTTGAGCATTTTCTAACTGGCCAGGACAAGGCACTAAAAACATTAGACGATCAAATCTATTTTTCCAAGGCTACTTGATTGAAATTTAAAATTCAATTTCGTTTTAAGCGAAAATTTCAAAAGTTGACATATGATATATGATATGTCATTATATTCAGAATGTCATTTTCTATCGAATAAAGTAAACAAATACCGGGGGTGCCATTTAAGAATCAAAAGTTGTAGTCATTTCCGGTGAAACAAGAAGTGACCAAAAACAATTGAATACGTCAATCAATCCTAATTTATGTCATATACTAACATACCAAATCTCGTTTTTTTATCTGAAAAAATAAGAAAGTTATAGGGGTGAGCCACTTTTGAGACGCACCCGGTGTAGAAATTAAAATAGACAAAAATTTCTTTGAAAGTCAAATGTTGCCAAAGCTGGAGAATTTTTATTTTAATTGTCTTTATCGGAAATGAATAAAAATTCTTTTTTTTGAAACCTTTGAGCACACTTTCCTGATTAAATAAACGAATTGGCAGATTAAAAAAGCTTTATGTTGGTAGTCATGGCAAATATTACCGATTGCATTGAGATTTTTCTTTAAAAATCGGATATTTTATCACTTTCGACTGTAATATTTTTTTTCTATTTGACATATGACATTTTAAATTTTGCTCTGAGTTTTTAAAAAAAAATTAAATTAAATCTGCGTTTTGTGTACGTAAAACTGCGATTTTCATTGCAATAAAATATGAAAACCACTAAATAGTAGGAATCAGCGACTTGTCTCATTATACTAATCAATTAATTTGAACAGGTAAAAGGATTACAGGGAGCCCCTTTTGTCATTAAACCACGCTAGATCGAAAACATTGTTGCCTAAGTATTGTCGCTTTTATTGAAATACATAATATACCGTATGATCGAAAAAAAAACGGCGTCCAGTTGACTGGGAAATGACGATCAACAATATTTCCCATGCATATATAAATTTACATATAATAAAACAATAATTAATAATAACCGTCTATCAAAGAATATAATCGAAATTATATTACCATAGAAACGCCCCTTGATTTTTAAGACTGAAAAAATTCAACAATATACAAACGGTATGGAAATTTGGAAAAGTATAAACGGGATTAACCATTTTAGAACAAGCAAAATTTTTTATGAAGAATACATTTTTCTCAAAATGTCAATAATAAAAAAGTTTTTCCACAAATCAGGGGACATTCTGTAGAATTATATAGAATTATTTATGTAATGGAATTATATTATTATTATTATTTTTATATTTACGGTAAATAAGAATAATTAAAATTATTCTGGTTTATGATAAATTATTCAGCTCTATTGGCAAAAAAAATACTGACTATGGAATTTTAGCGATCATATCAATTTTATTATCAATGAATTTATTAAAAAATCTTATTAAAATAGGTTACAACATAAGATACCTGTTTGTCTAGATGTTAATTTGTGATGTTTGCCCTTTTTCCTATTTTATCACATATCAAAAATATTATAATATCAAAACCGTTCTATTTAACTAGTTTTCTTTTGTTAATAATATATTAATAATTGTTAATATAATATATATACAATTATTAATTAATATATTAAGCATACATCATTTTGCCTTTTTCCGCAGCATTTATGATTATGATAGTTTTAGGTTTCGTTATAATAGGATTTAAAAACCTATCATTTTTGTTTATAGTTTTTCTGCAAATTAAAGAGTCGATAACTAAATAATTTATAACGTACTGAATTAACTAAATTTCAAACTGCAGGTACAATACAAATAATCAGAAATAGGCCTACGGAACATCGCGTCCGCCGTGTCGCCATATAAAATCAAAGTCTCGGGCGGCGAGGCCCTGAGTGGTCTCGCGCGCGGCCTATTCGTAAACTTAATTTAGGATAACAAGAAAGTATTAGCATTAGAAAATTAAAACAAGTTTCAAAACTTTTTCAATATTTTTACTTTTTATTTCATACGCAGATACTATGTGTAAAATTCCTTCAAATAAAAAAGTTTCTCGCTTACCGAAAATCATGATACAATAAAGTTAATGTTTGAAGTTTAATCCATTTTCCAAAAAAAATACACTCACTATGGAATTTTAATTACCTCAGCTATCACGGCCTATGTGTTCTCAATGGATTAAAAAAAAGAGTTTGTGAATAAGTTGATTAGTTTAGGAGTTATCGCGTAGGAAAGATAAAAAAACATGGTTATACATTTTGACATTTTGCTAGTTAAAAATTTCTGACACCCCCAAAAAGGTCGTAATTAGTTATTTCACATGCACAAAGGCCTAACTGATAATCCTGTATAGATATCATGTAGTTATACCTCCAAAAAAATTTTTGACACATTTTGATATCGTTTTTACTCCACTGAAATAATATGGGAAATATTCAGATGTGATTTACACTGAATGCGTTCGACCAAAAATCAGGCGGTGGGGGATCGTGAACGGACCGCCTTCCACAGCACACCCGCTCTACCCGACCCCTGAGACCGACCCGAGCGGTGTAGCGCAAATAGACTCTTAAAGGATCGTTTTGCTTGTCGAACTGTCAGTGAAAATCGAAAAAAATGTGATTTTGTGCGTTATCTTGCTCTTTAATGAAAATTACTACTTTTTCTAAAAATAAGTAATTGATAATTTACGACTTGGCAGTTATAAATATTGTTCAGAACATCGAAAATGCTGAGAAGCGTTTTCAACATTTCCCTCGTATAATAAGAATAATGACATATCCATAGAAAAATAGGTTGACATAACTCAACAATAGTTTATGAAATTCACGATGATTCACGTAAAATTGACATTTTTCATTGTTTTATTCACATTTGACTATTAGATACCTGCGAAATTGCGATGGTGTCAATATGTGCTCAAAGCGTATCCTGAAAACGATTCGCACGGCAACGAGAATACCAAAATCGACTGCTTGGCGTTTCGCTAATGGCATACTTTCGCTCACCGCTTTGAAAGCGTAACGTTTTTATGTCAAAGTTACAGAATTCGGGCCCAGTTACAGAAGTAAAGTGTTTTGGGATTTTGATAATACCTACTGATCAAAAAAAAAATAATTTATGGTTAACCAAAATAAAAATATAAACAAAATTGTTACCTGTATTTCAGTTTTAAATTGCGGAAACTGGTTCAGAAACTCTTGACGTTTTTTCCAATTGTATTTATTTTTCCAATAATCCACTATGGTATTTAAAAGATTAGCGTTCATACCATAATGTTGTTTCGCATCCTCCAGTGGTGTTTGAAAAGGCAGGGTATTATTTAACCTCTTCTGCAAATCTCCAATGACCTGAAAAGATGAAGAAAAAAAACATAGAAATAAATAAAGGTGGTATCCGCTTAAAATTATGTAACGTTTTTAGTTCGTTACATGTCTTTGTACATGATATATGATGTCTGGCCTATCATCACCGGTGAGTGATAACGTCCTTCCCTCTCGTTCAGGCCGGATAACTTATTTGACGCGCTTGGCGTAGTTCTAACGACCTCAAGTCGACAATTCTGTGCTGCTCTGTGGGCATTCATTTTCAAGGTTTCGCGCCTCTGCGCTTAACTTCACTTTGTATTTGGCCGTTCTACTGTCACCAGAGAGAAACTAATAACGTCGCTAATAACTAAAGTGAGAGGGCTTGTAGAATAGAGCATTTCGTAGACAAGTTCTTTGTTACCGCGCATCCCAGACACGCATAGCGTTTGGCGGTCACAAAAGGAAGTTTTCAACTTTGCAAGTTAAACATTTGACAGGATTAATTAGATTGTCAGTAGCTTTTTCTATTTCTTAGCTCTAGAAGAAGATAACTAAAATCTGTTGATAATCGGAGCAAATCGGAGTAATAAATTGTTTTTGGCTGAATGTGCCTGTTCTTTTAGCTTGTTGGAAGAGAAGATTATTGTCATTATTGATCATTTCAGATTCCACGATTATTCCGTATTTTGTAATTTTTGTTTTGTGGTTGAGACCCAGACAAAACGTTTCCTTTAAAGGTAAGTTTTATCTCGGTAATTATTTTAACATACCTAATAGTAATAGTGAGTGCACATAATAATTGTACATTGCTAATTTAATTTTTTTAATTTAAAACATCACATTCTTTTCTGATACCTATAGAACGACTAGGTATTATACCTGGTATTATTTCCAGTAATACAAATATTTCTTCAACTGCGAGGTTCTTGTTATAGAATAAAGACCATCAAAACATTGAATACCTACGGGATACCGACTGATACTCTGTGCGAGCTCCAAACCGTGCTTTCCTGTTCACTCCCAACCAAGTTAGATAAAAAAGATACTGAAGATTGCAGCCTTGAGTTGGAGTATGGCAAGGAGTCTGGAGTTAAATAAATTATTATGTCCCTACACAGTATTTTATTTATAGGTTTTAATGCTTTAAAGTCTAATAATAAATTTTCGTTGTCAAGAAAATAATCTAAAAAAACTACGAAGATTTCTTATTATAAACTTGAAAGATTAAGATTCGGTTCAAATATACAAATTTTAAATTTTTGGCGCCTGTATATAGGTATGAATGCAACCTACTATATCGATAATACGTTCATAGTTCGGGTTAACGCCAAAGGCCGCGCCACTATCACAGTCTTCAAAAATTAACGTTGATCGGTCTCTCTCACTTTAGTTATTAGTGTTCTCTCTGACTGTCACTATCAAAAAAGCTCTGCTTAGAGAAACTGCAATTATAAAAATCTTGCTGTATAATTTGAATCAGCTGCTATTACGAAGTTATTATTACTGCGCATTTTTAGGGTAGAGTTACGGATGTCCCAACCTAACTTTTATTTGTATTTTGCTGGCACGTTAGCGTTCCTTCTCTTTTGTCCTCCAGAATGTCACATGGAAGAAAGGACAGGTTCTTTATTATTTATTGAGCCCTCGGAAGTATTTCGGGGTAGGTTCATTTTGTTATTAGACCTTGTTTGATTTTAAATAAGAGTTTCATATTTTTAGGGTCCAAGGTTATGGTCCAAGGTACGGACTATTTCCAAGGTACGGGTAATGTTCCCTTGTACCATTATCTTATGAATGGATATATATGAACGGATGTCCCGTGGACGAGTGTCCCTAGTAGAAATGATTTATTTTACATATAAAGTGCCCCAGCGTGGATGTAGCTTGAGCTCCATGCTGCTTCGTTCCCATCTATAGGCTAGTCAGTAGTTCCGGCTGTATTAATTCATGGTGTCCTCATTCTGGCCCCTTTTGTTTTATTGGATAGCCGAGTACAGAGATATGAGCCCACCTCATGCTGCTACTCTCTGAAACAGGATAGCCTCAAGAACAGCTAAGTTTAGATTTAAGTTTTAGTTTACATTCAACATTTAACACATTTTCAGTCTTAAACAATAACCTACATCTTGAATAATATCGTACAGACTATGTTTAGTGGTTAGTTCGTCAAGAACCTTCATGTTAATTTAGTATTGAGAATATGATTTAGGTCTTAGGTTTCATTACATTACTTCTTGTAATAGTATTACTTCATAGATATTATTATTGCACTATTTTAACAGATGAATAACCAAACATAGATTCTAGAATCTACGAGGTTGCAACATCTTCGATTTAACATCATATAAAAATATATCAAATTAATTAAAATAATGCTACATTTCATATATTTTCTTTAACTTTACATGTCTTGTATTTTATCATAGTTGTTTTCATAGATATTTAGTACAATTCTTAACATCACTTTCTTTGACATACAACCACTATATTTACTAGAACTCTACAATGTCATGTACCAGCAAAGAACATCATGAATAAATATAGTCATTATTTTAAGTAATATACAACTGTGTTTTCTTTCTCTGTACATGCCTGGCGCCCAATATCTATATTTTTTTGTTTATTGTTATTGATTAGTTTTCTCTAGTGAAATACCTTATCCACGACTGCTCTCCGATGAAAAGCTGCCGTTCCTAGTGGTAATGTTTAAAAAAAAACGCTACAATTATATTTCGTAAATAAAAGTATAATTAAAATACGTTAATAAATCTCGCAAAAGAATATTTTAATCAGCATTCGCGTTTAAGGCAAATTGGGTTTATAACTGTTCGGATTTTATGATTTCTGTAATATGAATCGCCTCGGGATTCAAGAGGTTTCGAAGAGAGGGCGCTACCGTAGTCGGTCGACAAGGGTCGATTTCGCTTGCGACGCTTGAAAAAGAAGATGGCTGCGAACCTCAGCAAGAAAGACATTTTTTCAGTTAAAAGTAAAAATTTGTTGTTAAATTTACAAAGTAAAATAAAAGAATTATCTATGGTCCTTCGAGCTATCATTTTAAGGTGACCCCCAACCGCAACATTTTGGTCCTTCGAGCCGGATAAGTGCCATTTTGATCATTTTAAAAACTGGATATTGCCGGGCTAGAAACGAGCCTTTTGTCACGAACTGGAAGAACATCCATGGTGGCCGGCTAGCAACAAAACGCAAGAAGTGAGTCTGTCCCTATCTATTTCCTTATTTTCCTATTCATGCATGCTGTGCTCGACTAATAATGTTTATAATATATTCATAGTAAATTCAGTAGTTTTTCAAGTTAATAAAGACTAAAGACGATAAAGTTATATAGTTATACAGATCGGTATACGTAGATTTGTCATAAATAATTGATCAAGGTTATTTTCTTAAGAGTTTTAATACGGGAGATTTTATTAAGAGTCCCACTACTACGGGATATTCTCTTAAGGGTCTCACTACTACGAGATATTTTATCAACGGCTTCATTACATATTTAACAAAAGAATCATATTGTATAATTTAATTTAAGGGTATTTTTTAAGTTTAAGGTACCACAGAAATAATATTTAGTAACTTAACGATTTATTGTGAGTGTAATTGAAAAAACAAATTGATAATAAGATAACATTGCTATAAATTTAGTAAAAAGAATATACTGCAACAGAAGAAGCTATAGAATTGTGTTAAATATTATAATTTATATTGCAATAGGTAAGATTTGAAATGGCTGAAGCAATAGATCTCAGAAGGTTAAGAACTAGGCGAGGTCAGTTGAGAGGCATAGCCACTCGGTTTCAAAGTTTTATGTCTAACATGCAGGATGTTCTAGAAGTAAAAACTAGGTTGGAAAAAGTAGAGTCCGCGTTTGTAGAGTTCGATCAAGTTCAGTCCGAATTAGAGCTATTAGATGAAGAAGAAACAGAAGTTAGAGAAGAAATAGAAAATGTATTTTACAAAGCTATTTCTACAGGTAAAAATGCATGCGTTGATGCTAATATTAATTCACAAATATTACATACACCTCAAAATCCAGTAAGTAACATAAAGCTACATCCTATAAATTTTCCTATTTTTAGCGGAGGTTATGAGAATTGGATTAATTTTAAGGATACTTTTAATTCCTTAATAGATAATAATGTATCATTAGATGCGATTCAAAAATTTCATTATCTGAAATCTTGTCTTCGAGAAGACGCAGCTCAGATTATAAGTTCTTTAGAGGTAACTAGTAGCAATTATTCAATAGCTTGGAAATTGTTACAAGAACGTTATGAAAATCAAAGATTAATAATTCATAATTACATTAAAACTTTATTTGAAATATCTCCAGTTCAGAAAGAATCTTGTAAAGATTTAAGAAATTTATTAGACACGTTTTTGAAAAATATTAGAGCCTTACATTCACTAGGACAACCCACAGATCAATGGGATACACTCTTAATTTATTTATTAACATCTAAACTCGATTATAACACAAGAAAAGAGTGGGAATGTTCATTAAAGAGTAACAATTTGCCTACTATGGTCAACTTAACGGATTTTCTAAAGCAAAGATGTATGATATTAGAAACAATAAATGTAAACAAAACAAAATCAGATATATCTATTTCATACAGAAAAGGCCATGATAATAAGAGTCATTCTTTTGCCACAACTCAAAACTCCAGTTTTTCATGCTATTATTGTAATCAACCTCATCCTATTTATAGATGTCAATCATTTTTTAAACTTAATTTAGAGAATAAACATAAAGAAATTAAAAAATTAAAATTATGTGCAAACTGTTTAAAACCAAATCACGCTACAGATCAGTGTCAATCTCTTAGAACATGTTTTAAATGTAACCTAAAACATCATACGTTATTACATGACTATTCGAGTAACAAAACAAATGTAACTTCCTGTTCTCATTGCGCATGTAATAATAAAATACCAACTGAAGTTTCTGAAAATGAAAAAGATAATAGTGAGAATCAATCTTCATTAAATTTATCTTCTACTGCTGCTCATTCTTTATCAAATTA